GCAAGCGTTGAATGGGTCCTTGGACGCCGACACCCTTCCCTAAAGTGAAAGAAACATTTTATTTCCAGAGGTAAATTATGCTCATGTATCGTTTTGAATCAAAACTCCCTGGAACATACTATATTATTTATTATATAACTAAAATATTCGTTCGGAATAATTCCCTTTTTTTATATATCACACTTTTGAAATTACGTCGGTCTTATTTAATTTTACCATAATTATTCTTTATAAAAAAATAATACTTTTTATATTCGTCATATATTCAATACTATAACATTTTATTTTTTCCCAATTTTATAACCGTAAACACCAATTTTCTTATTTTCTATGAAAATATTCAAATTTATTTCATTCATATTTCACATTTGCTTGATTTTCAGAATGATGCAAACTGTTCAACAATAATTTAGATTTATATCTATTATTGTAACACATGTTTTTAACTTTCCCTAAATAAATTGTAAGAATTCTTTCGAATTAGATACTTACGTGATTCAATGTAAACATTCAAATTGAATAAATTTTAAATCAAATTTTGTATCCATTGGAATTTACCTGCAAAAGTTTAATTTAATTAATAATTTAATTTAATTAACTTTAGAATGCCGCAGTTTAGAGAGTTTGTAATAAGCAGTTGCTGTTGTTTCGGATATAAAGCGTTAATAACCGAATTAAAATGGAGATTCAAAGCAATCTTCTTGGAAATTAAAATTAGAATTTAGATTTAAATAATTTTTAATTTACATATACATTTATATATATTATTGTTATTTCGGAATAAAAATGTCTCTATATGTAGGCTATTTCCCTTTTTTGTTCTAAAAAAAGCAACTGCACACAACAAATAACTATAAACTGCGTCATTTCAAAATCAATCCTTCTTTCGTGATTCTTAAGTAATACTAACGAAGCAGACACTTATGTTTCGGCCAAACAGCATTTAATCTTGGAAAGTGAAACTCAAATTATTGAGAAAAATGGAATTACAAGTTAACTAAAATGTATGTTCTAATCTGCACATTTCCTTCTCTTCTTCTTTAGCCTGAAATTTGACTATCTACTGATGAACGTTCTTCTTTTAAATATAAAAGCAAAATTTCATTAAAGAACGGGCACGATTAGCTCCAATTTATCTATGTTTGCATCCAATATGTGATGTCAATTAAAAGAAATTTCTCGGCTGCTTTGATTGCAAGTATGTCCGTATCCAGTATTTAAATTATTTCCTGTATTTATATAAGAATATAATCAAGGGATAATTAAAATAATTAAACCACTAAAAGTGAAAAGCTTGGTAGCAGGGAGAACATATATCAAATCCGAAACAAAAATGAAACAATATAGTGAACTAACAATTGCCAATAATTTACAAAATTGCTTTTCTAGTTTTTAATTTCTAAAATACTAATTTTATATCGTATATTTTCTTTAGGCCGACATCGAATAAGATAATGTCTTGATAATTAATTAAAATCTAATTTTAATTAATCTAATTTTTTTATTTAAACTTTTGTTAGCCTTTTCAAGTGACTTTTATAATGGCATTTATATAGTATACAAATATTTTTAATGATGTTGCAATAATATTTTAAATTGCTTTAAGTAATTTTATTTTTTATACCACTCACGTTTTGATTTATTTCTTACCTGGATAATCAACCGAATAAATTCAGGCTGATCCTTTAAATAGACCAAGGAATTTATTATTAATTATTATTTTATTTAGTTGTTTTGTTTTTGGTTCAATTTTTACTTATATTCTTCTTGTTTGTCAGTTTGCCACCTTTATCTATTTAAATATATTTTAATTATTTCTTGATAATTTAATTAATTTCGCAGAATACTACTAGATAATATTTAAAAATCAATCATTTAATCCAATGTTTTAAATCAATCACATACTCTTACTTACTTAAATTGTTTACTCCGAAAAGTGATTTAAAAGCTTTAAAAATATTTGCATATTTATACAAGGAGTTCAGCAAGATATTTCTCGTTGTCTTTAACACGACAACATAAATTCACTTTTGAAACCCTAAGAAATGCTTAGTTTGTAAATGATCAATTTTTAAATGAATATAAAAAATCGTAAATACCAAGAACTATCTTTTCGTCAGTTACCAAACACCAAAGAATTTTTATACTTTGCTTAAGATCCACAGTCAATTGCCTCTTATTCCGTCATTTGCCGTTAAACCCCGTCACTGCCAAACGAGGACCACGTGTCCGAGAATGTTCTGTTTCTCCCTGGGGTGAGATTAAAGCCTCGTAGTTGCGAAAGGCAACTAAGAAACAATGAAAGTCATAAAATTCCATGACCGCTATCTGCCATGATTGAGAATGGTTAAGGGACACTAAAAACAGGAGGATGTTAAACGGACGAAGACGATTTTCTCCAGGAGATGCTCAGTCTATGTGTGGGCTGCTTGAGATAAGGTTCGAAGAATTTTTTCTCAAGTACTTCATCAAAGAAGCTGAAGAAGCGAAACGTCTGAGAGCTCTATTACTTCGTTTATGGTCTATTGAACGGATAAGGAAGCTGACGAAGAGCTTTTACCGAAAAAGTTGTGGATTGCCGTTAACTGGAGCAGACGCATACATAAGAATGAAATACTCCACGGTTTTAAGCTTTGTAAAGGTGCTTATCACTGGTTTTAAAATTGTGATATAATATCAACACAAACACACAAGGGGGAGTGGTGAGAGGTTTTGAATAAATTATTAATTCTATTATTTTTGACTTCCATTTACTTTAATTTTATTAATCTTAGAAAGCAGGTTATATTGAGCAATGATGAATTTTTTAGAAATTAATTGGAGGATTTAAATAGCAATTATAATTTACTTAAGAAACTTATAAATTCTAAATGTTTTGGGGGGGGGGTTCATAAGCAACTCATGCAGTCAGACCTTTTTGATTAATTGTTATCCAAACTGAATGTTACAAACATACAATGTTTGATATCTAAGAAACTAACTAGCTTATATTATTGAAATTTCGCACATATATCCATTTGTACTATGAGATAACCAGTAACAGAGGGAAAAAATTCTGAAAGTGTTCAGATATTCACGGTCGCTCAAAAGGGCTCTTTTAAAGTTGAATATGGATATCAGTAGAGATTATCAATAGGGTTGGTCCAGGTGGAATAAAGAAACATTTTATAAAATACTAGATGAGTATGTATTTAGATTAACATGGAAATATTGGATGTATTCAATAGTTTTGGAAAAAATAAAAGATATATAGTGTCGAAAGTTTCCAATTATAAATATAGGAATTCAATGCATTTTAATAAAGCAGATTATAAAATAAAAAATTAAGATTCTAAAGTGCTGCATCTATTGTTTTTAAACACCTTAGTTTGTCTATCAGTACCAGAGAGATTAAATTTGAAAGCTAAATATATTACATTCTGCCGAATGGCAACGGATTCGAATGAAAAGTGAAACAACACAAATTCGCTTTTTGAGAATAATAGTCCTTTTGATCAAAAAGAGGTGGGGGAGAATGATTTGCGATATGGAAATGAAACCAAAAACGGTGAAAAGAAAAAAAAAAAAAAAAAAAAACTTCATAATTGCTAGAATTTTTTGATTTGCCCTGTGCTTGCGTCTCGGCTATGGTAGCATTCTTGGAGGTTCTGGCTGTAAGTTTAAATCAGAAGGATTAGAAACATTAACACTATTAATAAATCTTTAACATATTACTTATTAAAAATATCATTATAAACAATATAAAATGTGTAAAAACACTGCCTGATCAAACATGCGTATCTCTAAGCGCAGGAAATATAAGGAAACATGTTTTGGTTCTGGTGCGATTGTGAGTTTTAATACGAAAATCTCATTGAAACCTTATATAATAATAGAAGAACGGTGAAAAGATCCGTTACTATTACCCAAAATGTATCACTCGATAAAAATTGTTATACTTTTAGGTCACCTTACTACAAAGCAAGTTTAAAGTAGCTACCCTATTTCGTTCACTTTTGGAACGAAACGATGGTTCAACAACCAAAATATTCAACAGATAATAATTAATCGACCAGTGCCTTTCAAATCTTCTACATGACACTGACTTCGAGAAATCTGAAGTAACTATGCATATAATAGTATTACCGTGGTATCTTACTACTAAGTGAAAAAAACAAATATATAGTTTGTGCATTTAATAGCATTATTTCTGTAACTGTCTGGTAGTACTTTTAGAAAGAGTATAGTAATACTAACTATATAAGACAAAACGGTACCTAATATTTACTACCGGAGAATGTCTATTAGTAATAGGACTATTAGTAACGGACCCTTACTCTACGATGGCACTAGACGATCGTTACTAGACATAATTTTTCGTAGTAATACTAAACATATAAGACAAAACGGTACCTAATATTTACTACCAGAGAATATTCGTAATGAGACTATTAGTAACGAACCCTTACACTAGGGCGGCACCTAATAACCGTTACTAGACATAATTTTCGTCGTAACTACTATCAGACGATTTCTGCAATAACTACTCTAAAACTATACCAAGTAATATACTACTAGGTTAACTTCTAGTAGCGGTACAATGCTTAGTAACTGCTGCTGCGTAATAACTAGCTGCTGCTAGTTACTACGTAGCATTAGTTCCTAAGCATTGTAATGGTATCGAGCATGGAGCGGAACTCAGTGACCGCATCTCTGCAGTATTGCATTAGACCGTATCTCTACAACAAATTGGCACCTAGCAAAGAAGTATTACTATTTTACTACGCATCAGTTCCATGTCAAATATAGTCCTATGGAATCTTCGTCGGTTATTGTAGGTAATTGGTAGACAATTATATTCTATATTTTTCTGAGTTTCTGAAACATACTTCAATTATTTTACCTATTTTTCGACGTATGAATTTTTGTAACTATCTTTACGTACTTGCTCAAAGCTTTTTACTCAAAGTTATAATGCAAATGCCGTGATAATTAGCAATTCATAAAACAAATTAACTTACCGAAATTGCTTCTGCTGGGCGTTTGTTTACACAGTCAGTGAGGAAAACTAAAAAAGAAAAGAAAAGATTTGTTAATAATGGAGGGTAGAGAAGTAAAAAAAATTAGGCATACAAAAATTAAATAAGTGTTTTTCAACAAAAACGTAAAAGAAACGTTCGTTTTAAAATAACAAATGTCCTTTTCCAAAATTAGATTGGAAAGTAATACAATGTGATCCAGAACCTGCAGGATTCTTGGTATAGCTTCTAAAAATTTAAAAACAGCATAAAGGAAACCACTATATGGCATTTTCTCCCTCCTTTTCGGATGCATTAGTGATGTAATTGGAAGCGTACTCGGTACGTATTCGAGAGATCCAGAGTTCGAGTCTCGGCGGCATAATTCCCAAGTGCCCATCAGTATCCTTTGATTTTGAAAGTGTAAGATTCAAAATATATACTGTGAATGATCTGATTATACCTGTTTTAACATTAAAAGTTATATATGAATAAATTAAATATATTCGTTGTGAATAAAATAAATTAATTCTGTTTGAAGAGTATATTTTGTGCAGGGAATACATTTAAGAATGAATAGTTATTAACATTAAATGTGTAGGAATGAAAATCAGGCAAGTTCGCTTTGAATATATTGTGTATTAGCTATTATTATAGAACATCTTTTTCAGTACACTGCAATAAAAATGCTAAGCCTTCTACTATTTACATATATAATTATGCTTATATTTGATGTAACTTCGCACTGAAAATTTTAACAAAAAATATACTATGATTTAGTTACTGTGTAAAGGAATTTGCGTGGGAAATCCTTTTCAACCATTTTGCTTAAAACGTGGCAAAGGTCATGTGAAATGACAGAAATATTACTAGAAGCCCATTGGTCCATTCCAGAAGCCACTTCCTCGGTGACTATACAGACATGCGCTTACGAAATACGCATCCAGGAGAAGGAATTACACATTTTTCACGTCCCCTTAAAAATAAATAAGTAAATAATATTAAAAAAATCTAAAATGTTTCAGATTTCAAATTACCTCCAAAGGGGCGTTTTTTTAACATTTTTTCTGTTACTTTTATTTATTAAATATAACGTTCTTCGTACTTAAACCATAAAATTCAGTTTAAAAGCAATATTGCAAAATAGTTTTAAATTGAGCATATCTTTAAAATTTCTGATAGGCTGTCTCACGTGCTGGAGATAAAAATGTTTTTTCTGTACAACGTTGCCATTGCTCCCTTTGAAATCCTTGAGTTTGTGAATCAAAAATTCGTTAAAGATTTACAAAATATGAAATCGATAATAAAACAAATTCCAAATTTATAATTTTTTACTTCCACATGAACATGTTCGCAGTAGTTCGCTTCGTCATTCAAAATTCGATAACTCTATATACTGCTTTATCACAATGAGAGAAGTATACATACATTTATGTAGATTTTTCATTATTTAATTTCTTCAAATATAACGCAAGACTCTAACATTAGGTGGCAACAGTTTAAAAAGTGAAATGGACATTTATAGTGAACGAACGCAAAATCGCAAAACGGAAACAATAGTCCTTCAGGGAGACAAAGCTCCTTTGGACTAAAATACGCGTAATGCCTCTACAACTGCCCCCCCCCGGAATTAAAAGGTTGTGAACGACAATTCGTCACCACCAGGATTTGGCGATTGGGCTCCCTAATCTCTAGTTGCCATTTACAAGGGGGTATACAAGGCATTATTTCTCTCCTTTCTGCATGACTTCGTGGTGCAATTGGAAGCATACTCGACGCATATTCAAAAGTTTCAGGGTTTGAGTTCCAGCAAAGACGCTGCATACTTTTTTAACGGCTCCTGCTTAAAAACAAAAACAAGCACAAAAAAACCTAATGAATCTACAGCAAAAAAAAACCTAATGAATCTACAGCAAAAAAAAACCTAATGAATCTACAGCAAAAAAAAAAAAAAAAAAAAAAAAAAAAAAAAAAAAAAACCAGTATCCATTGTTGTAAGAGTTTTAGCATTCACCCAAGGGAACATTTGGAACTGCAATACGCTTTGTGTTATTTTAATCTTTTGGTTCAACATATTCAAACGTACGAAGAATATTAAGTACGGTGCGAATAATTAATTGTAATTAATTCACATGCAGCTTCGTCTCTATCTTTCTTAGAATAATTACTTGTAAAAATATCTTGTCTTGATGCTAAGCATGAGCTATGTGAGGAAAGAAATTATACAAATATGGAAAAAGCTGCAATACTAAGGCGTGAAGGTAGTAGTTATTTCAATTCACTACTGCACTTAGTTTTCTAAGGTTACATGATGAGGTATTCTGAGCTTAGAAGCCCAATTTTATTCACAAAACATAAATTGCTATTATAGGGCAAGCAAATCATTTATTGTAAATAAAATTATTATGTTGCTTTATTTAACATTATTATAAGGTAACCGCTTAAAGAAATTCTTCCTGAATTTCTAGGTTCGAAATTTCAAATTAGAAAAAGAACAATTTATTCTGAAAAAAAAAATGCTCATGGTCTGTGAAATATGAATTTCGTTTGCTATATTTACTAACGTACTTGAAATATAATCGTTTGGATTAGTTGTCCTTAAACTGTCTTCCATGTGACCCCGAATAACTCATCTAGAGGTCAATATCGAAATCTAAAGAAATTCTAAAATATCATATGCGCAGCAAAAATAAGACTTTAAGCGTTCAATTAGATAATTTTAATTTATTTATTTTAGTAGTTTCAGTTAATATAATGTGGATAGTTATATGTTTAGAAGCGAAAGTATAACAGAATAAAAAATTAATGATTTTCTATGCAATATGCACGCAATATTTATACATTTTCAATATTTTTTCACAGTTCCTTTTTCTGAGGATGTTAGAGGGTCCACAGAAGTGGATGTTAGAGGGTCAACAGATTTTAGATTTTAGATTTAACGATAGATTTCTCATACATTTCTAACTCTTCCCTAAGTTGACAGCGTTTTAAGACCATTGTCTTAGATGATATTGAAGGTTTGTATTTGCAATGAAGGAATTTTGGACTCATACAAATGCAGCTTAAGTCGAAAATATTTATCCACTTAGAAATGATTGCAGCAAAAATTTTATTTTGGTTCATATTTACATGTAGTTAATCAAATTACAATTTAAATACCATATTTCTTGCCATACATTACACGCGCTGTATGTGAGATTTTTTACTAAAAACATGCATCCAGTCTGTAGTCCATTTCAGTCAGATTAAAGCGAATTCTATGTAACTAGAAAGGTCGGCGTGGATAATCCCATACAACAGTCGGCATGGATAATGCAGACGTTAAGTTCATAAAAGTCAGATCACAACTGGCTACAAAAACAATATTATTAAAATATAACTCTCCCCCTACAAAAGAAGAGCAAAGTGCGAGACAAAGTGGAAAGCATTATTCTTTTCTCCTTTGGATTACAGATTGGATGCAGGCCGCTTGAAAAAATTCATAACATGTTGTACAGGAAATCCATAGCAGGGAATTAGACACTCGGGTACTTGAAATTCAGTTTGATATAGTATAATATTTTAGTTAAATTAGGGTTACTTGGAAGCTAGAGAAGAGTTAAATTACCCTTTATTTCTAACTTAGCTTTATTTCAATAATTAATTTATTAAATTAAATGAACAAACGACACCTTTTCGGGCTTACAATAAGCCTCCATTTGGTCTTTAACTCAATATAGAAAATATAAAACTAAACTAGTATTAAATAAAAGTAACCAGACAAAGCTGCACAGAATCAAATAACAGAGTTGTTTCTTATTTAAGACCGGAGACAGAACACGCTTTCCTACTGAAGTGGCCCAGACTTTAGCTTAAATATTCGTTTCTACATCATTTACTAAATCGAAATCCTGAAAATTCATTCTGGCAGGGAAACGTAAAAAACAATGAAAATTGCAATATACTAAAATACGATGAAAATAAAAAAAGAATCATTGTTAAAATAGGATTATTATCCTAGCATAACTTAAAAAGCTTAAGAAGCACAAAACTTTTAAGGAAACTTATGTGTCCCGGTGGTATTCCATCTTATAAAAGGAACATATTTATTAATCGATAATCCACGATGACTTTAATTAAAACTTTATATACATCAGTAAGAAAATTCCTATATATATCATATTTCTAATAACATTCTAAAATCTCAAGTCAGGATGTAATCTAAATTAAAGTTGTACAATTTAAGAAATATGTATACAATCTTGTAAGAAAATGTATTTAATAGTATTTTAATAATAATAATTTTAAATGAATTAGATAATAATGTGCACATGCCAGTCTAAAATGATCCTTTTTAATTTACCCTGCATAATTATCTTTTTGACGATCACCATAAAACGTAAAACATTACATCACTATTGAGCCGAAGTTATTCCAAATGCTATTTTGAAAAGAAATATTAGTTTTATACCTTCCAAATAACTAATGCCTGTGCATGTTCAACGGTGTATCAATACGCTGCTTTGAATATTTCTCAATCGGATTACTGCTGCAAAATAAACATCTTAGTTCAATAAGACATATTGTAGAGTTTTCATGAGAGTGAATAATACTTTTAAGATTATGGAGACAAAATTTCTTAAGCAATGCATAAAAAATAAGCTTTTAGGTAGGAAATAGAAGTTTTTCTGATTTCCATTTCAACCTTTGATACAAAGAACTTATAAAAAGGTATTTTTCATCTTCGTATTATTATAAATTTTTTTTTTTTTTGTTTTTTTTTTTGTTTTTTTTTTGGGGGTGTGTGTGTGTGTGTGTCTTTCAATAGAATCTCTCTCGAGCAAAGAAATTTTATCGAGTCTAAACAAAGAATTCGTATTGATTTAATATCATCTTCAAAATATTTTCTCTTTAACTTCTGATATTTGCTATAATATTACAAATTCTTACAGGTGTAAAAGCAAATCTGTGACTTTTTAAGGTAATGATAAAATTAACATAAAAAATAAATAACGCATTCGTAAATAAAAGAATCAACCAATCCTATTTTAAAATCCAATTTATGTAAGCA